CTTCTTCTTTCACGAACGATTATATCTCAGGTGTGTACCTGAAAGTAGAATAAAAGTAATTATTGTTGATTTCACCGCGCCTACCACTCGGCTACCCATTACATTGGTGGCAGCGGTGTAGTTTTAAATAAAACAACGTGATTCGACCCCAGACCCCCATGGCTCAACCCGCTGCAGCTCCCTGCGACGAATCAAGGGAGGGTATTCCCCAAGACCAGCAGTGTTTGATTTTCGCCGGCACGCAGTCGGAAGCAGGAGCCCACTCTTCACTTTGGTACTTCGCCTCCGTGGTGGAATGCAGATTTTCGTCAACACTCTTCCTGGCTAGACCATCACTCTTTACGTCGCGCAAAGTGATGCTATCGACAATGTGAAGACCACGATTCAAGACGAGGAGGGAGGTCATTTGTCTGACGCCGAGCTAGCCGCTCTGAGTGACGGGCTCAACCAAGATGAAGATAAAACCTGGCTCGCCCTCCGCCATAGCTCCAGCCGCCGCCGTGGTTACTAACGCTGATTCCAGGTATGGCATTTTCTTTCCTGTCTTCCTTCAGTCTCCCTGTTCTCTTCAGTCTTCCTTTATGCGAGTGTGTGAATCCAGTTTAGTTTGGTAGGCGTCTGATCATGGTGAGCCACGGTTTACCCAGCTAATGTGGGACAATGTGTGTGACAACGCCCCTTATAGTTATAGTGTATTCAGTTCGGTTTTTGAACTCCGATGTTCCTGGCGGGTTGTGCCAGCGTTGTGCAGCAAGAGTGCTGTGGATTTTCAGGTCCTATTTGGAGGACAGTTCTTTCCCCTTTTGACCCCGTGAGATCGTGTGAACCTGGTGTGCTTCTACTTTATGATTTGTTATCAGTTCATTTCTTCTGTCTACTCTAAACGTTATCATTTCCGATATAATTTGCCATCTTCCGGTTGACGCTGTGTTCGTAACTCTTCACTAATTTTTTGAAAACCACGAGGGCGTGATAATCTGTAGGAAGGGAGGGTGTAGTATCCCTGCCCGACCAATACGGAAGCAGTACGGAACTAATACGGAGCTTGCCTGATGTATATTTAGTGTATCTCCGTACGTAAGCGTACGTCGTCTGCTGCATAAAAGCGGCTGCGCATTTCTGTTTTGATGAAGAGAAGATTATATTAGATTGGATAGCAATGAAAGCTAACTCGAAGAATAAGGATTCAGCCTCTAGGTGAGCACCGGAGAGAAAGTTATTTATTTTCCCTCTTCTTCTTTCACGAACGATTATATCTCAGGTGTGTACCTGAAAGTAGAATAAAAGTAATTATTGTTGATTTCACCGCGCCTACCACTCGGCTACCTATTACAGTTGGAACTTCCCTAGTAAAATAATAAAACTACTACTACTAACTACTAAGTTCACGTCAGATTTCTACTTTTGGATCCACTAAGGTGTGAATTCGCTCTAGCGTACAGTGTGTGGGACACTGTGGGTGCCTAGCAACCCACTCATGTCGAATGCAGGTGTGACGTTTTCTTCACCACCTGTCACCCCACCTCCATTACTCATTAGCCAACCCAGTCACCAGCGACATGTTCATTGTGATTTTGTGTATCACCTTGCTGTGAGTAAGACCGCTTGAAAGGTGCTTGAATCCATACAAAAACTGGATCCAGTTTTTGAAGTTTTGCAACCGTTGCTATGCCGGGACGTAGCACTTTCCACTTCAAGCCTAACGTGTTAATTGAACAGTACTGCAGTCTGAAAACCTGTCAAGGCGACCACTCGGAAAGGCGACCACCTGTCCAAGAAGACCACTGAAACCGGGATCAAGGGATACTTTTTCCAGTCAAATGACCCTGGATAAGGAGACCACCTGGTAACAGAGACGGCATTTTGAAGGTCCCTTGAGCGGTTGTCTAAGACGCTCTTGGATAGGATTCACTGTATGATCATGTAACTGCCAGTGGTTTACAGGGTTTTGGGCCGTTACACGCCCGATTGGTTGAGAGACTCACCTCCTCTACCCCTGTCTCACCTGTGAGGTCTGGAGTCGCCACGAAGGTTACCAGGCATAGTGGTGGCCTGCGGATGCGAAGGCTAGTTTATGTGTTTCTGAACATCCAAGCGATGCCAACGCAGATCCCACGAATATGATTATATGAACTGCCAGTACTACATACTGCTGCAGTAATTTGTTTTCTTTTTTACTTCGTAGTACTAGTAGTAGTAGCTCGCTATTGCACTTGCTGAACATGTACATGTAAAGTCATGATAGAATCCAACTGTCAATCTAACATGACCAGTCATGTACATGATTGTATTATGTACATCATGCACTGCCGGGGAATTCCCTGGCCCAGTGCCGGGCCGTCCAAGTCTGACGTCACTGCTTCTTGACAGTGCAAGTGTGAGCTCAGAGTCACAGCACATAACAGTGAGCACTGAGCCTGAGGCTAAGCAGCTGGAGCGCGGCTAGCTAGAATGTCATAACAATGTCATCATTTTGACTGGGGTTCGCGCGAGCAAGAATTTTTTTATTTTATTTCAAGTGAACACGTACCACTTGTCGCTGAGTTTGTAGTTTTCGCTTTGTAGAGAAGGAAAAGCTGTAGTTGATTGGCAATTTGCCACAGCCACTGTTGTGCCTGTACTAAAGTTACTGTCGTTCGGCTTTACATGTACATGTAGCCGCCGTCCAAGAAAGAATGATGGGTGTCTCTGTTATTTCTATCGCGGGTGATCGCTGATTTCTTTAGGTTCTGAGACCTACCAACGCTGGGCACGTTTCCTTGTGCAGCGGCAAGCGAAAATCAGAACTCCTATCTCCCAGGTGTTGGTGAACACTCAGCAGGAAAACACTACACAATGGCTGAACAGCAGAGGAGATGCTCCTTGAAGACAAGCATTAAAAACCTTTTAGTGTCATTTTGATCTCCCGATCGTGCACGAGACCCATGCCCAGTCAAAGTGATGCCGTGACCGTTGGAAACAAGACAAGCGCAGGTAACGCGACTTTTGTTTGAAAGTACTAGCGTGCTCACACGGCTCTTTTGCGTGTACGATTACGATGCACACAAATATCAGGGAGTACAAAACACCTATATGTACATGTATTTCACTACTCTCTGGTGGTATCCTGTGGGCGCGGAGTGGATGTGGATCGCCCCAAGTTTTTACTTCCTTACGGAGAAGACAGCTCACGACGGATGACCGACATGCGGCTCTGGAGTTCTTTTTTTAACTGCTCAGTACCTCACGAGATGAAGGAGAGATCGACTCGGCTCCTCTTGTTCTTCACGTGGACTGTTCATGCCCGTTTGCCACACTTACTCTTTATTTTAGTTCTCATTTTTTGTAATACTTACCACAAGTTACCAGTTCATGTGTCACACTTCTTTGGATTTTAACCTTTGTTTTCCCTTGATCTCTTTAGTTCCGTATTTCCACTGATGATCGGAGCGTGAAAATCGATTTTGGAAACACACAAAATAAAACCTTGAACAAATTGTCATGTTGCGTGGTGATGTCTGCGGCATTCATACTTTTCATAGCTATGATATTACTGTAGTGATTTTGTACAACTCCCTGTTGTTGTTGTTTATTTATTTTACATCGCATGGCAAACGGGTTCTGCCCAATATTATGAAAGCGATGACAACCAGTAAGAAGAGTCAGAAATGAAGAGAAAATAAATGAAAATAAAAATACGAAAACGGAAGTAGCAATGAGGGGAGGCAGGGTCAAGACGAGCAGAAAAAATGGATCTCAAATTTACAAGTCGGGTCATCGTAGCATGATTCTATCGAGCCTCATCAGCAGGTTACGAATACCATTACATTTAACCGAAGTAGAATACGCGTAGCATGCGTTTGAATTCACGGACAGATACTATGGACTTCATACATTCGGGCAGGCCATTCCAGAGTCGGCAGCTGGCTAGGAGCGGTCGGCATGCGCCAGAAGCACTGTGGGCCAGGGGGAGGGGAAGGTTGCGTCCCAATTGACCTCGAGTGGTCATGCCTGTCGGCGGGCCTTGCAATACAATTCGGGACGACAACAGCTCACTGACGGTTCCAGAACGGATTATACATGTAAATGTCAGGAGTCGGAGCTTGCATTCCCCTCGTTCCAGCACCGGGCAGACACCCAGCCTGGTGTACAGGGGAAGAGTGTGGGCCAATCGGTCCCTGTCTTGACTCTTTGCACCCGCGCGGCCGCCGAGTCCACCCACTACGAAAAAGCTCACGCGTTGCGCTCAACATCAGGGTTCACGAATGTTAGTTAGCTTTTTCCTTAAAAATATTCGTTACGACGCTACGAATTTTCGTTGGGCGCAACCTCTCTACTGCGATTAGGAATTTCGCGGCACTCGATCCAATCGCCATGGTCACTTTCCTTTGCGCGTCGTGTGAACACAACCTAACCAGGTTACAACATGTACGTGGAACCACGAGCTTTCACACAGCCTGGCGTCAGCACTCCAAGGCCCATCGTGGTCTGTCGCAGTCTGTTACGCACCATACATTGTATGAATCCGCTTTGCTGTTGAACAGACATTGACATTGGGTTGGTCAAAGACGATGAAAGGTATGACCGAGATTCCAGAGGTACCTTGTCCAAGCTCAGACTAAGACCACCAAACCAAGCCAAAGGACGGATCACTCATTCCCAGATTACTCTTGCCCTCTGCCCGAACTACACTGTACTCTGTAGTCTTCGTAGGCTAGGCTAGCATTATTTATTATGCATGCACGGCACTCTCGTCTTGTATTGTAACTGTAAGCTAGTTGTAGACCTGGTAGACGCACTCTTGAATGCGCTGGACTCTACAACCACGTCAGTCAGTCACCATGATTACAATGTACTTCAACAATTTAGTTCAAAATGAATGGGCCGCGTGCGACCCGTCGTCGCGTCGCGCGATCAGCTGAAACATGTGTTTGGGTTTTCGTAAAAAAAATTGAGAGAATTAATGATGCAATGACAAAATGTGTTCTTTCAATCAAGCGCGTTCGCGCTGCATGCAGCTAGCTACCTGCGCTTCATTTGTGAACCGGTTGCGATCATTTTCTCAAACTATTTTCTTCAAACACTTGTTTGGCGGTCTAGCTCAAGTAGCTGGCGAGGAAAGACTAATAATATTTGTATTTAGTGATACTAGAGCAGCTCGTAGAGCCAGACGATTGCTGTGCATGTCGCAGGTGTCAGCAGGTCCGTGGCGGCGGTCTGCAGAGCGACGATGACAATAATTATTTGTTGGGATCTTAGTGTTGAAGTCGACAGCGAAGCTGAATCGCCCCCGTCCTCACCAGTACCGAAGAGGCACAAGTTGTGGGCGAGTACATTAGGCGACGATCTGCCTTACGGCGTTACGTGCCGTTCAGCTCTCATGAGTGGTCTGACGCAGTCTCGGAAGCGCAGTTTACGATCAAATGTGTCACCGCCAGATTCGAAAGAGTATGCAAGGGCAACGCCGCCCAGAGCATCGTGGTGCTTTCCAGGAAGAACTTGGTCTCTGACTTGGAACTGATGTCGTTGACATGCTCAAGTATTTGTCACCATCTTCAGTTCATTTGTATTTTGCTCCTCCACACAAAAGCCACTAAGTTTGTCTGTGTGTCAGATTGTGCAAAAACTGTCATTTACTATTTCAAAGTGTATGTTTTGAAAGCGGTGTCTGGGGCACTTTTAGGTTGCGTTTGTTCGGTGCCATTCCGCCACCATACCGCCACCATACCAAAGTCATTCTGCCGTGTTTTGATTCCGGAGCGTTTGTTTGATGCACTGGACAGCGTTTGTTCGGTGCAATTCCGATTCCAGTCGCGGAAAGAAATTGGCAGAATTGATTCTGGAGATTCCTAAGAAAAATTGGAATGAGGTCTCATTCCGACCGAAATGAAAATGCGCGGAGGGGCTTCGTCGCTGCTGCATAGCTCTCCAACAAAGCTTCAAACGCCATTATCGAGATACAGACATGCTGGTGGGCGTAATGCAGGGTATATGCTGGTACTGTAACCTCGGCATAGTCATTTGTACGTGGTCGCACACGTCTTTCTTCTCTTTCTCATTCTACTAGCTCTTCTTTCATTCTCCTGGGTGGTTACCAACAGCCAGTGTATGCCGGAGTATGTCGTGTGGCGTGTGCATGTAAAAAAAAGAATAAAAAATGGAAAAAAGGAGAAAAAGGAAAAAAATAGGGATTCACTGGCCAGAAAAAGCCGCTTCTATCAGCTGTGTGGTGGATACCAGGCTAAAATAATTAGTGGCGGTCAATTCATCAGCCTAGCAAGCTGTTGAATGGTGTAATCCCAGCACAAGTTGCTATGTCTACCATAGCTCTTCGCTATCATCGCTTCTGCAATTTGCAGGTCTGAGGTGTGTGTGTGTGTGTGTGTGTGTGTGTGTGTGTGTGTGTGTGTGTGTATGTATGTGCATGTGTGTGGGTACATGTGTGTGTTCGTGTGTGTTTGTGTATTGCAGGGCAAGACCCAGTCAAGAGATCTCGTACCAGCGCGGCCCGTGCATCAGGGCAACTGGCAACGCAGGGGAACAAAATCATGGCCTCTTCAGGACTTTGCTTCGGTAAGTGGTGAGAGGTGAAACTACTGTTGTCGCAAAAAAAGATCCGGCCAAATGCAATGCTAGCTACTGGTAGCTGCATGGTGGGTGGCATGCACTTCCACTGCTAGTGTTAGTGTAGCCTAGTGCACGGCACTTGCTACCAGGCCTGTGCAGTGCAAGTGCTAGACTCGACTGCAGCAGGAAGAGTCTGAGTGCAGTGCAGACTGTTCACTGGTGTGCTGGTAGACCTAGTGTAAATGCACGCAACATGTCACCATGATTCAGGAACAATGAAGTACCGCCGGTGAATGTGTACCATACCGCTGTACCCATGCCATTGGCCGGAGTTTTTTTGTCGACAACTGTATTACGAGAGCATGTCTGAGAAAACCTGACGAAAGTGTGCAAGTCGATCTCTCCTCTTTCGCTCAAAAAAGCACAGCTGACGCCACAAATGATTATGTGGAAAATAGCCGATATACCGGTACAAGCGCTGATGAAACAGCGAGCTATGTCCGCAATTAGCGGGAACTATAGTATTGGCAGACAGTAGAACACCTCTTTTAGCACTGAAGACTTGTCCCTCATCATCGTTTTTGGGTTTTCTCGATATAAATGGGTTTGAATTGTTCCAATCCATCATTCTGAAATACGCCCCAACTCATACCCGCGCTGGAAAGCTGGCCTCTCCGTGACCTCTACTTCAACACTACGCCCAACGCTGCAGAAAAATGCATGTTGTTGAGTCTGACAAGGAAAAGCAGTGGTGATCACTTGTCACTCCAAGCGTAAGGCTTCTCCTTGCGCACCCAACATTTTAGGCTGCACCAAGTAATGTTTTGCCGAATGTTTTTCAATTTGAAACATTCCTCTTGCCGTAAACAGCACCATGTGTCCACACAACCACATTCATGGGCATACCGCGACAACCGGATATGCAGACCCCGCAGACACTTGCAACGCAATCGTTGTCTAAGATGCTGCCACAACATACAAACACGGAGCGCATGCACTCGCAGCCATTGTATGTGTTGCGGCCGTTGTCGCAACCGTTGTCTCTGTGTCAGTCTTTGTCGCAGTCAGGGTCTCATCCGTTGCCTTGGTCACAGCCGCTGTTTGCTTCGCAGTCGTTTTCACAGTCGTTGTCTGTTTTTCAGGCATTGTCACAGTCTGTGTCTCATCCTTTGTCACAACCATCGGCTTTTTCGCAACCGCTGCTTGCGTCGCAGTCGTTTTCGCAGCCGTTGCCTGTTCCCCCGTAGATGTCGCATCTGTTGCCAGTGTCGCAGCTGGTGTCGCATTTGTCGCGGGTGGTGTCGCATTTGTTGCATGTATCGAAGCCTGTGTCGCAGCCGTTGCCTGCATCAGAGTCGTTGTCAAAGTCGTTGTCGTAGACTTAAGCCTCTACCGTTCTACTAATAGCTACTAAGGGCAGAACGAGATTAGTTTTTCTAGAATTGGTCCTTCGAACCCAGAGAAATACTGCACTCTTACTCGCAGTGGCTATTCCGATTGACGGTTTGGCTCTTCAGTCAGTTCGTCTTAGACACTGGGTGTCTTTACACTGAGATACTGTTCCGTTCACGCTGAACAATGTAATCTTGTGACTGCCCTCAAAGTAAAAAAAGAAGAGGAAGCAGCGCCTACACTACGACGGCTCGGGTAGATATTTTCACCAGCCGTACATGACGCCGAAAATGCTGGTGTTAGGATAAATAATATCTAGATGCGGAAAGAGAAAGGAGTTATCACTTACATCGTGCATGCAACGAACAGTCATCCTCCGTCAGGGAGGCAGTTCTGCACTTGCATCCATGTGGTAGATCTACAATTTACCATAATGACATGCATTATGTGTGACTGACTGTCCAGACTCAGTAGAGTGTAGACTTATCTTTTCCTTTCCAGAACATAGGACTGTTTCATCCTTTTCAGAGAAGGGATGGGAGAGCAAGTGGGCCTCACAGCACAAACAAAATTTCATCTCATGAGACTTTTTACGAAAACCTACTGCAATGATAAGGCGTTTGCACCTCTGTTGCTTTTTAAACGGCGTATCAATGTCTCCCGCAAAGTCGAATGCGCCCCCTTGTAGACCCCTTCAGCTGTCTTCAAATTCATGCTTTGGTCATGTGTCGGGGCCTATGCCTATCAGGATTTTCATGTGGGTTGATATTTCACATCTTACCAGACAAGGTTTTGTATGCAAATGGAATTGGTTGGAGACAACCCATTCAATGCAAGCATGCCCAACAAAGGGTGCATACCTGGTCGTAGCGTGTGCAATTCATTTAGCTTCCCATCCTTTCTTTACCCAAACTCGACTGTAGTGTTCCTTCTTTTTAAACTCATGTTCATGTCTGTGTTCTCATTTTCACTTTGTTTGTTCCACTATGTGAAGGTATCCTGATGGGCTGCTTGCTTCTCTTCAGTCCCCTGTTGCTGATTGGCTGCAATGGTAAGATAATTATATTATGGTGGATGAATTTGGGTATGCCAATGTCATTTATTTCATGTGTGTTGGATATCAATGTTGTTTGCTTCCCTGGTGTTGTGTGAAGGCAAATAGTCAAATACCAAATGCAGCATTGTGCTAGTATTGACAGGTCATTGTCACTAGTGATTTGGGTATTGAGTTAGCATTGTGATAGTATTGTCTGGTCACTAGTCGTTTGAGTATTGAGTTAGCGTTGTGACACTGCACTCTCCTGTATACCCATGCAGGTCAACCTGTCAGTTTAATTGCAGATGGTACAGGACAGCACCCACCATACACAGTGACATTTGGTGATGGACAACCTACAGCCGATGTTATCAGTTACTTACCTGGATGTGTTGTGCTCAGTGGATCAGGGCCATGGATTCGACTGGAGAAGACTGATGGTAGTCTAGTGTTGGGTGAGACAGGTGCCTTCTCAGGACTTACTAGTGCAACGGTGAACAGCACAGCACATCCGATACTGGACACGTCATACACTGGCCTGTACCATTGCAGAACAGTGGATCACAACTCTCGCCAGACATATCAACTCAACATTGTAGGTAAGTTTAAAACCATTTCCTATTTTCTGTGCAATAATCTCCTACTGACTGTGTACTCTACAGCATGGTTACTGGAGTAGAATGGAGAATGAAATTGAGAAATGATTTATAAGCAACCATGAATAGAGTAGAGTCACGGTTCACTGCACAGTCCACTGTTCACATTGCTGGGATTGTACAGTCCAGGACTGGTATTTCCACAAGGCTGGATTTCATTTACCAGCACTGTATCTGTATTGTACTGGTACATGCTGCATCATTGATGTGCTGATTGTACATTTTTAAATGTCTTGTACCAATACTGGGGTAAGTCGCTGTGTCACTTCTCAGTGTGCATCGTGTTATAACCGTGAAGTATACACTACAATTTTTTTCCCTAGGGTTCCCTGGAAGAAGGTCATGCCTGTTGGGACTCCTCTAGTCAAATAATACACTCTACTACTACTACTTATACTACTACTGCTGCTGCTGCTGCTGCTGCTGCTGCTGCTGCTGCTGCTGCTGCTGCCGCTGCTGCTGCTACTGCTACTACTACTACTACTACTACTCCACTAAGTACAGTCATTAAGTTTTATTCACGCCACAGATTAATTGCTGACCCTCTGATCATTTGGGAGACTAAAATCCGTCTTCATTTATATTATGACTTATGGTATGAATTCTGGAGCTGAGTTTTCGATTCCTTTGAGCAACTGGCTTGAATTTTTGCTTCCTTTGTCTCCAGAACTGTGCCCTGATCTAGTATCAGCGCACTTCAATTACCAACCCATAGCAAGTTTCAGCAGGGCGATTGGTACGCATATCGAAATCATGTGCCAAGGAGGGTATCTTCCGAGCAATGGTCTGGCTATCACCAACTCTATATGCCAGATTGGCGGAGTCTGGTACCCAAGTCCACCAGGATGTGAAAGTAAGTGTGTATATTAAATATGCGGGCTTTAGGAGTATGGGGAAGTGAGTTGTTTTGGAACTTCATCTGGGTATGCTCAGTTGCCGTACAAGAACAGTTTGAAAGCGGCTTCGAATGGACATGAAGTTGTGCGCAGGTCATTGGTGTCTCAAAGTGTTAACTGGTGATGGAGGTCACATTCTACTTGCTGTGCTTGTCTAGATATAATGATCACTCAATCTCTATACAGAGAGCGAGTGTGCGGGTAAGTACCTAGCTGCATGTACCACAACTTAACATTGGTCTGTTGTGAATTGTGAAATGGTTCCCACTTCGGTGCTTAAGCCTAGTTCACATTCGAGGCAACGGTGACGGTACGGGTTGTAAGGGCTTGTCGGAACGGCTGCGGCGAGATGTAAAAGCCTGTACGATTCGAATGACATTGCAATGCTCAACGTCGAACGGCGCGAGTCATAAGGCATGGTCCGTGACAGATTCACGGACCATGTCAGTCACGTAGTCACAGACTTCTTTTAAATTATTTCTCCTTGCTTGAAGCGCAATCAAGTTCACAATACAGTAAAAGGTGTAACTACCGAACACCGTGACTAGCGACCAGCCTGGTACTACAGACCACCGTGACTAGCGACCAGCCTGGTACTACAGACCACCGTGACTAGCGACCAGCCTGGTACTACAGACCACCGTGACTAGCGACCAGCCTGGTACTACAGACCACCGTGACTAGCGACCAGCCTGGTACTACAGACCACAGTGACTAGCGACCAGCCTGGTACTACAGACCACCGTGACTAGCGACCAGCCTGGTACTACAGACCACCGTGACTAGCGACCAGCCTGGTACTACAGACCACCGTGACTAGCGACCAGCCTGGTACTACAGACCACCGTGACTAGCGACCAGCCTGGTACAACAGACCACCGTGACTAGCGACCAGCCTGGTACTACAGACCACAGTGACTAGCGACCAGCCTGGTACTACAGACCACCGTGACTAGGGACCAGCCTGGTACTACAGACCACCGTGACTAGCGACCAGCCTGGTACTACCGACCACCGTGACTAGCGACCGGCCTGGTACTACAGACCCCCGTGACTAGCGACCGGCCTGGTACTACAGACCACCGTGACTAGCGACCGGCCTCGTACTACAGACCACCGTGACTAGCGACCAGCCTGGTACCACAGACCACCGTGACTAGCGACCAGCCTGGTACTACAGACCACCGTGACTAGCGACCAGCCTGGTACTACAGACCACCGTGACTAGCGACCAGCCTGGTACTACCGACCACCGTGACTAGCGACCAGCCTGGTACTACAGACCACCGTGACTAGCGACCAGCCTGGTACTACAGACCACGGTGACTAGCGACCGGCCTGGTACTACAGACCACCGTGACTAGCGACCGGCCTGGTACTACAGACCACCGTGACTAGCGACCAGCCTGGTACTACAGACCACCGTGACTAGCGACCAGCCTGGTACTCCCGACCACCGTGACTAGCGACCAGCCTGGTACTACAGACCACCGTGACTAGCGACCAGCCTGGCACTACAGACCTCGGTGACTAGCGACCAGCCTGGTACTACAGACCACCGTGACTAACGACCGGCCTGGTACTACAGACCACCGTGACTAGCGACCAGCCTGGTACTACCGACCACCGTGACTAGCGACCGGCCTGGTACTACAGACCACAGTGACTAGCGACCGGCCTGGTACTACAGACCACCGTGACTAGCGACCAGCCTGGTACTACAGACCACCGTGACTAGCGACCAGCCTGGTACTACAGACCACCGTGACTAGCGACCAGCCTGGTACTACAGACCACCGTGACTAGCGACCAGCCTGGTACTACCGACCACCGTGACTAGCGACCAGCCTGGTACTACAGACCACCGTGACTAGCGACCAGCCTGGTACTACAGACCACGGTGACTAGCGACCGGCCTGGTACTACAAACCACCGTGACTAGCGACCGGCCTGGTACTACAGACCACCGTGACTAGCGACCAGCCGTGTACTACAGACCACCGTGACTAGCGACCGGCCTGGTACTACTGACCACCGTGACTAGCGACCAGCCTGGTACTACAGACCACCGTGACTAGCGACCGGCCTGGTTCTACAGACCACCGTGACTAGCGACCGGCCTGGTACTACAGACCACCGTGACTAGTGACCAGCCTGGTACTACCGACCACCGTGACTAGCGACCAGCCTGGTACTACAGACCACCGTGACTAGCGACCAGCCTGGTACTACAGACCACCGTGACTAGCGACCAGCCTGGTACTACAGACCACCGTGACTAGCGACCAGCCTGGTACTACAGACCACCGTGACTAGCGACCAGCCTGGTACTACCGACCACCGTGACTAGCGACCAGCCTGGTACTACAGACCACCGTGACTAGCGACCAGCCTGGTACTACAGACCACGGTGACTAGCGACCGGCCTGGTACTACAGACCACCGTGACTAGCGACCGGCCTGGTACTACAGACCACCGTGACTAGCGACCAGCCTGGTACTACAGACCACCGTGACTAGCGACCAGCCTGGTACTCCCGACCACCGTGACTAGCGACCAGCCTGGTACTACAGACCACCGTGACTAGCGACCAGCCTGGCACTACAGACCTCGGTGACTAGCGACCAGCCTGGTACTACAGACCACCGTGACTAGCGACCGGCCTGGTACTACAGACCACCGTGACTAGCGACCAGCCTGGTACTACCGACCACCGTGACTAGCGACCGGCCTGGTACTACAAAACACAGTGACTAGCGACCGGCCTGGTACTACAGACCACCGTGACTAGCGACCAGCCTGGTACTACAGACCACCGTGACTAGCGACCAGCCTGGTACTACAGACCACCGTGACTAGCGACCAGCCTGGCACTACAGGCCTCGGTGACTAGCGACCAGCCTGGTACTACAGACCACCGTGACTAGCGACCGGCCTGGTACTACAGACCACCGTGACTAGCGACCAGCCTGGTACTACCGACCACCGTGACTAGCGACCGGCCTGGTACTACAAAACACAGTGACTAGCGACCGGCCTGGTACTACAGACCACCGTGACTAGCGACCAGCCTGGTACTACAGACCACCGTGACTAGCGACCAGCCTGGTACTACAGACCACCGTGACTAGCGACCAGCCTGGTACTACAGACCACCGTGACTAGCGACCAGCCTGGTACTACCGACCACCGTGACTAGCGACCAGCCTGGTACTACAGACCACCGTGACTAGCGACCAGCCTGGTACTACAGACCACGGTGACTAGCGACCGGCCTGGTACTACAAACCACCGTGACTAGCGACCGGCCTGGTACTACAGACCACCGTGACTAGCGACCAGCCGTGTACTACAGACCACCGTGACTAGCGACCGGCCTGGTTCTACTGACCACCGTGACTAGCGACCAGCCTGGTACTACAGACCACCGTGACTAGCGACCAGCCTGGTACTCCCGACCACCGTGACTAGCGACCAGCCTGGTACTACAGACCACCGTGACTAGCGACCAGCCTGGCACTACAGACCTCGGTGACTAGCGACCAGCCTGGTACTACAGACCACCGTGACTAACGACCGGCCTGGTACTACAGACCACCGTGACTAGCGACCAGCCTGGTACTACCGACCACCGTGACTAGCGACCGGCCTGGTACTACAGACCACAGTGACTAGCGACCGGCCTGGTACTACAGACCACCGTGACTAGCGACCAGCCTGGTACTACAGACCACCGTGACTAGCGACCAGCCTGGTACTACAGACCACCGTGACTAGCGACCAGCCTGGTACTACAGACCACCGTGACTAGCGACCAGCCTGGTACTACCGACCACCGTGACTAGCGACCAGCCTGGTACTACAGACCACCGTGACTAGCGACCAGCCTGGTACTACAGACCACGGTGACTAGCGACCGGCCTGGTACTACAAACCACCGTGACTAGCGACCGGCCTGGTACTACAGACCACCGTGACTAGCGACCAGCCGTGTACTACAGACCACCGTGACTAGCGACCGGCCTGGTACTACTGACCACCGTGACTAGCGACCAGCCTGGTACTACAGACCACCGTGACTAGCGACCGGCCTGGTTCTACAGACCGCCGTGACTAGCGACCGGCCTGGTACTACAGACCACCGTGACTAGTGACCAGCCTGGTACTACCGACCACCGTGACTAGCGACCAGCCTGGTACTACAGACCACCGTGACTAGCGACCAGCCTGGTACTACAGACTACCGTGACTAGCGACCAGCCTGGTACTACAGACCACCGTGACTAGCGACCAGCCTGGTACTACAGACCACCGTGACTAGCGACCAGCCTGGTACTACCGACCACCGTGACTAGCGACCAGCCTGGTACTACAGACCACCGTGACTAGCGACCAGCCTGGTACTACAGACCACGGTGACTAGCGACCGGCCTGGTACTACAGACCACCGTGACTAGCGACCGGCCTGGTACTACAGACCACCGTGACTAGCGACCAGCCTGGTACTACAGACCACCGTGACTAGCGACCAGCCTGGTACTCCCGACCACCGTGACTAGCGACCAGCCTGGTACTACAGACCACCGTGACTAGCGACCAGCCTGGCACTACAGACCTCGGTGACTAGCGACCAGCCTGGTACTACAGACCACCGTGACTAGCGACCGGCCTGGTACTACAGACCACCGTGACTAGCGACCAGCCTGGTACTACCGACCACCGTGACTAGCGACCGGCCTGGTACTACAAAACACAGTGACTAGCGACCGGCCTGGTACTACAGACCACCGTGACTAGCGACCAGCCTGGTACTACAGACCACCGTGACTAGCGAATAGCCTGGTACTACAGACCACCGTGACTAGCGACCAGCCTGGCACTACAGGCCTCGGTGACTAGCGACCAGCCTGGTACTACAGACCACCGTGACTAGCGACCGGCCTGGTACTACAGACC